GATGTGGTTAAGACTTAAATGGTCCTTGGCTGAGTGTCAGGTCAGGCTACCAAGCACTCTGAAGAGACAAAGTCAGTTTTCAGAAAGGACTTCATTTTGGGGGCCTACTTCTACTACTGTAAGCTTGCAGGCAAGTCTGCCATCTACTTGGGCCTTGCTCTCCCCACCCATAAAATAGACATATGGTATTAATCTGCTTGTGATGAGAATATGAAATTCAACTGTGTCTTGCAAAGCACTTTGAAGTGGTGAGTGGAGGCCCCTAGAGATGAACAAAGCATTAGAAACTGAGGAAAAGAAGCCCCCTATCATAACATGGCTCAGCTCAGTAGTCTATGGGCTGTGGTTGGAAGTTTTTATACAGCTCCTGAGTTTGAATAATACAGGTTATTTCCATTTCTATGTCAGACACGCATAGCTTGAGACAAAAGATGTCTGCACTGTGATGTGTATGAAGGAGTATGGAAGAAGTTGTTCTAGGTGACCTTTTCTCACACCTTGAAAATAAAACAATTTAAACTTTGGATCAGCTTCTCATTGAGTGTAGACTTCTAAAATAATTTCTTTTTGCTAAGCACTTCATTCCTGGTCTTACTACTACATGAATGGATTAGTTTATTCCATCCACAAAAGTCAAGACTAAGCGACTCACTGCTTTTTCCTCACTGGTCTTGGAAGAAGTTAAGCAAATATACAACTTTTTGTGAAGTTTAAAGGTGTTCCCCTTAATATTAATGAGTACTTCCTGCATTTGGGCTATGTTTTCATCTCTTTATTAATTTGTCATATGTTCTCTTGTTTTTTCCTTTCCTTTACTTGGACATCTTTATGTTGCATACAGTGGGCATTACAGCTATCTGAAATTCAGCTTCGTTTTCTAAATATTCATGTTCATCCCATCCAGTCCCCAGCCAAACAAAACTAGCAGCAGCAGTTACAGAACATTGTGTTTTTTCTACAAGGCACTTTTCTATGTGCTTTAGAGACATGGCTTCTTTCCTTTCCTGTTCCACTGGTTAACAGCTTCTCCCAAAGGAGAGTGATTATTATTAAACTGGCTGACACCACTGCAGATGTTCTGGGACCCTTTTGTTCCTAATTTCATCTTCTTCCAGATCCTGCAGTAAAAACATAATCTTGTGCTACTTTCTATGAAATAGTATAGTTAACCTTTGGAATTCACTGGTGCATGAAAAGCATGAATGACATATACAGGCTGGATAATCAGAAATGCATTTTGCATACTAAGGAGTATGTGGAAGAAAGAAAATCTAATCTCATGCTTAAAATCTCACAGCAGGGTCATGTCAGAAAGGATTTCACCCTTCATCTGCTCAGTAGTGAAACTTCAAATCTGGTGATACTTCACTTTCTCTGTGGAGCCAAAAGTTGTCTGTTGAGGAGAGAAGCGTTAATTTACTCCATGGTGGCTCGACAGTTCTCTTGTTCTTTATGCTTTTGTATTCTGATGTCATGGTGCTACTGCATTTATGGAAAAAATAAAAGATTTGCTTCAGCTCAGATGCAAAAAAAATGAAGAGCAGGGCATTTAGGAAAAGTGCTTGTTTTTTACACAGAAATTACTTTGTTAGTGTACAGGTTGAAGCAGATGCACGGAGAAATGCATCCTCCTCCACGTTCCACCCCTCCCCCTTTCTTTTGCATTTTCTTTAAAGTACCCTGGGGATTTTTATGGCTCTGTGGAGTACAGCAGTTCCATAGGTGGAAAGAAAAATCTGACTAGCTCAAAAGGGAATGTAGTTTTAATCTTGAGAAATTTGTGACCTGTAGAACAATAGCAAAAATTCAAAATGTTAACATTCATAGGAACCACAGGGAATGACATCTGTACATGCCAGTTCTAATTTCTTGGGTTGTAAATGTAAAATGAGACAATGGGAGAAAGGGTAGTGCTGCCACACTGTCTTTGATATCCACTGTGATGTTAGAACCTTTTAAGAACGTAGGGTTATAAAGGTGAGTATGTACATCTTATATACCCATCTTTTGAGCAGTGAGGTCAGTGATTTTGTGTTTTGATATTCCTGTTGTGCTGTATAGTAGTAATATATAATCTTCAGGGAAAAGGGATTCAGGAGCTGCTGCCTGTACTCTCATCTGTGTCCTCTGAGTTTTCCACGCTGAAAGAGAAAATTTAGAATCAAACTAGCCCGCATCAGAAGTCTATGTGGCTTTCCTGTGAACTGGACTCCATGAAAAAAAATAATAAAAAATTCCTTTGTCTAAACGGAGTATCATTAATGGTTTTGTTTTCCTTGTTTATATTCTGGAATTTTTAGAAAGCACACTTGGTTCCTCAGTCAGTCATGATTGGTAGATTTATTATTATTATCTTTTCCCATAAGGACTGTGACTTGACCACCAATAAGAAGAGCATTCACATTTAGGTGAAAGAGTGAGTTTGTACCACTGTCATTTCTATAGATTGCTCTGATGAGATTGAAAAAGATTATATGTGGGTCTAAAGACTGAGGTGTCTCTTTGCCTGAGGATGCAAGTTTTCTTAAGAATGTGTTGAAATCCATGAGCAGGCAGCAGCTTGTGAGGAGGCGAGGTTTTACTGTCACTTTACATCCAGTGTCATGCAGTTTTTGGGCTAAACAGAAGTTGTCTCCCAGAGTTATCAGTCCCATATGGTCTTCTGACAATAAATCCACTTTAGAGAAAAAGCCAGGACAACAGGCAAAAGTTTTAAGTTCAGATCCAGAGCCTGGACGTGGAAACCAAAGATAAATATTTTTGACTAATATGCTGAAAGTCAAATAGATTTATACTTTTTTTGCTTCAATGAATTCTAATTATTTCTCAAATGACACAAAATTTGTCTTAAATAATCAGGAAATGCTGAGAGATGGCTGTTAAGAATGTGCTTTTCTTTTCTTTTTTTTTTTCTTTCTTTCACCTGTCTCTAAATTCTGTGACCTTGTGTGTGTGTGTGAATGAAATGCAATTTCTCTCTTGTCTATGCTTTTGTTACCTGTTGCTTGCTTGTGTTAAGCTAGCCATGTCCCTCTGTCCTTGTTGCTTACATTGTCATTCCTGCATGTATTGATTATGCATGCTGGCTGTTATAACAACTGCTTTTGTTTATTTAAAGTGATGTGACCCTAGTTTATCTGCCTTTATACTAACCTGTTGTTTATTTTTGCTTTTTTTTGTTTGTTTGTTTTTTTATTTTTTGCTTACAAAGTTGAGTTGACCAAAGCTGATCTGCAAGGTAGAGAAGGTTCTTTTTCGCCATTAATGGTTTGAACTGAAAGATGTTTTTATGTAACATTTGGTGCCTATTACTGGATGCAGTCACACCTCTGAGACACAAAGACAATGACAAGCCCCAGCACCTCTGGAGGGGATATCTGGGTTAAAAGAGGACATGGAAAACAAAGAAGGTTGTTTGGTTGACCTAAGGGGGTTTGACTGTATCTATCTCTGACTGTCCATAAGTGCACAGATTGATTTCCTGAAATGCCAAATGATTGCTCAGGCAAACAGCTGCTGTGTATAGAGACATAGAAAGCCCTCAGAGCTTTACAAAACAAAGAGTTGGCTTGGATTCTTCAGTACCGATCATAAGGAGTGACACCGGAAGATAAAAGTGCTTTTTATTTATTTATTTATTTATTTATTTTTATTCTAGGCTTTGGGTAAAAAATCCCACAGATGGATCTGCCTTAAATTTCAGTTAAAAAATTAATAACTACAAATTCTCTTAGTAGTTAGATGTCATTTTTCAAGCTATAATTGATAATCCTTTGAGTGCTCATGCCTGATCTTTTCATACCTGCTAATTTTTGTACCTCTCATAGTTATTTTTTAGAAACCCTTATTGGATAGTCTGGGTTTTTTTTGCAAAGCAGATAGAGCCTTTTAATGATGTCAGTAAGAATTTCATGTGAGGAACAGTATATTTTATTACTGTTGCCTGGTAAGTATAAAGAGATCAGTCAGTGTTGTTTGAGGTTGCTGAAAGGTTGAGAACTATGTGGATCATGTTAAAATGGATCTTGTCTCCCCAGACTTTAGCAAAGCCTTTGACAGTTTCCAACAGCATTCTGCTGGAGAATCTGACTGCTCATGGCTTGGACAGGTGTATACTTTGCTGGGTAAAAAACTGGCTGGATAGCCAGGCCTGAAGAGTTGTGGTGAACAGAGTTAAATCCAGCTGGTAGTTGGTCACAAGTGATGTGCCCCAGGGCTTGATGTTGGGGCCAATTCTTTTAAATATCTTTATCAATGATCTGGATAAGGGTATTGAGGGCAGCTGCAGTAAGTTTTCAGATGACACTAAAATGAGCAGGAGTGTTGATCTTCTTGAGTGTAGACAGGCTCTGCAGAGCAATCTGGAGAGGCTGGATTAATTGCCTTTTGTGACTAAGCCATGGGTTTAGTCTAAGGTTTTGTTGTGGGAGAAAATTCTTAGGGTGTTCCAGTTTCTGAGATAGAGAAAAGACTTCCCAGCAGTTTAGATATCACTGGAATTTGTGGCTTTAATAATGGGCTTCATATACTCCTTTTCTATTCACTGTGTCTACTCTGAAGACCTGGTAACATTGATCTGATCCAATTTTCAAATTAAAATATTCGTGTTCCATATTCTAGGTGTAGGCAGGAAACTATTTTCTTTGCTTCAGAATATAATCTGTATTTTTAAGTTGGGTTTGGCATTCTACAGCTCAGTAGAAAAGACTAAAAATACATTTGGAGGAACCAAAGGTATTTTTATGAGTAAACCGTTTGTCACTGTAGCAGTTGTTAATAGGCAAGCATATTAGGAAGCACTCTCTTATCAAACAGGTAAAGAACTGACAACCTGAGATAATTTTAGCCATTGGGTGTGCATGAAACACAGAATCTATAAGATATGATAGCCTAGAGGTAGGCAGAAGTCAGTGTAATGTATTATGCCCTGTTCATGTGGAGCATTTGACTGTGACCATGTTTGTTGGCTTCTCTGGCCTATTCCCTGCTCTGAAAAGTTGAAGTACTGTGTCTTGCAGAGGTTGGGGATTTAGAGATTATTAGGGGCTGCCTGAAGGGGATTTCTGAAGTTTATGTAAATGAAAGTGGTAATGGATAAAATCTGAATGAATAGGAGGATACATGGACTGGGACCGATATGAGGACTAAAAACATCCTGGAAGTACACTGTAAATAGCTTTAGGATTAAGGTGTTCTGTGCCATCCATTCAAACCGTGGCAGAGAATTTGGGTCTTGCATTAGGCATCAGCAAATATTGAGTCTCTCTCTGTCTGCAGCTGCTGCTGCTCTCTCTAGTCACTTGTGTGTCCATCAGAATTCAGACTAGATACTTAGGAGTTCCTGTATCTGACAACCATTGAAGTGGGTGCAGCATGAAGAAGGAGTCTTCAGTTTTGATTTTCCCATAGTCCTCAGAACCTAAAGGTTTGCCACAGCTGTGAAGGTTATTCCAGCTTAAGGTCATTTAAGGTTTTTGCAGAGGTCTTAACCCTATAGGTATATTTGTCCTTCAGGTGGAGACACCTGATCACATTGAGGTCTAAGGGGAAATATTTGTCTTGAGTACATAATGTGTACTGTTGGCTTTTCAGGAAACCAACCTTTGCTAATTGGATTCAGCTATTTCAGAATAGGCCATGAAGTCTGGTAGTTTGTACTGCTGTGATTTGCAGTGGGGAAGGGTGTTTTTTCAACTGACTGTATTTTTCTTGTTCACATACCGCCCTTTCCTTTCTGCTGTTAATTTCTGTGTCTGAATACTATTTATTTCCTCTACTCCATTTGCATCTTCCTGTCCCGTGTCGCATGTCAGGTCCAGGTGTACTCCCTTTTATGCAGCTGACATTCTGTTATACAATTGGGGTTTTTTCTTGTTATGTTGTTTGTTGGTTTTTTTTCTTTCCTCACCAGCATGTGTATGAGCTCTTTGCTCAAGACCTTTAAGGTTGCTTAGAAATGGAGAGTGGCCAGGTGAAAAGAGGTAGGAAGATAGGTGTATGCCAGGTTTATTAAGGGGGAAAAAACCCAACCTACCACCTCTACATCAATCCTTTGCGGATTGTTGTTGCTGCTGATCCCTTCTCCTGTCACCTTGAGGTAAATATGCTTCCCATGGGAGGCTTGTTTATTTATTACTTCTGACTAGTCCCACTCCCTGAAATTTTTAGATCAGCCATGTATCTGGAACAGAAGGCCTTGGTGTCATAACTGACATCAGGTGAATGAAGCGTTCAGGTTCTGTTGAGGCACAGGAATAAATGGCTGTATCTTCAGAGGACCGCAGAATGCTGACTTTTGAGTTATTTCTGACAATGGATAACTTTAAATAAGGAACCTGCCTGATGTATAACCTTATTTAGGTGATGAAAAGGGTGATGCATTCTTAACTAAATCTGGAACTGAGAGCTCAAAGAGCTGGCCTTGCAGTCTTTGAAAAACCCTTTTGCTTTTTTTGGTTTGTTAAGTTAAAGTTATTCTCTGGTATTCCTGTCTTCTACCACATGTGACTCAAAATACAGGATTTTAACTTTCTGAATCATGCACTGAACCTTGATTATACCTCAGTATGTTATGTTTGTGCAAAGCAGGTGTCAAAATGCCACCATCAGTGCTGGACAGTTATAACATTTAAATATGGCCCATCCCATGAAGTGATGGTTCTATGAAAATCAGTCTCTTTTATTTTCAAAATTATTCTAAAATTGGAAGATTTAGCTGGATTAACTTCATTTGTCTTTAACCTGCACTAAGAGCAAGTCCTGCAACAGGTTCATAGTCTGCGTTTCCAAAACCTGGTGCCTTTCTGAGCTGTATGTGGCCTGCATTTTGAATTAAAAAAAAAAAAAAGAAAAAAGGCAGACTATAGCTGATCATAAAAGATGCGTGTTGACAAAAGTAGAGTGCAGATTTATTGTAGGTATAAATTGCCTATGATGTAATCTGGTAGTGGTACAGATATTTCAGTGCTTGATGACATTGTTTGGGAACCGTAGGACGAAAAAAGCACCTTATTGCAGAATAAGGAATAAAGACAGTTAAAATATCTTGTTTATGTTACTTTTCTGTCTCTTCCTAACCTCTTTGGAGATACAAGGAAAAAGCATGGGAGGATTTAGGGAGATGGAGAGTGAAAAAGGTCCTGTGGTGCCTTTCTACCTTGCCTGTTGCAGATCATCTTCATCTTACTGAGAAAATAGCATAAATACAAATGGTAGATTCCTTTAATAGGACTGAATTTTCAATGTGTGAAGGAAGGTGTTGCATGCAAGACCAAGAATGGTTTGCTTAGCTTAATGGTTATTGCTAGTCATGATCAAAGCAGAAGGCAGTTGTGCTATAATCCTGCAGCTGTTGTGTAAAGAAACTGATTCCTCTTGCAACTCAGAAGAACAATAAACACAATAATGTGTTTTATTCCTAAAGTTCCTTTCACTGCAAAGTGCTTTTAAATGATAGAGCAGGCATGTCTTCTCTTGCCAGTGAAATGCACCCACCTGTGGGATGAAACATGGCAGTTTTACCACCGTGCAGCTGTAGAATTATTATTTTTTTTTTTTAGTTTCAGGGCAAAAAGAAATGTGCCATACAGCTGAAACTGCAGGGAAGAGTCAGGGAGATGAAATAATTTTTCCAAGCAGAATATGGCTAAGAGATATGGCTGCTGTACTCTTCTCAAGTGATTTCCTTCAAATACTTAGTGGTAAAGCCACTAAACACACCAAGTATCTAAGTAACTTGGAAGAAAACTGTAATATTGTTCCCTTCTCAGGGAGGAATACCCAACAAAATCTCAGAATCTGCAAGTCCTCAGACACTGAGCTGTTCCTGTAAAAATTAGAGATGCAGAAATAAATATCAAACAGACATTGTTGAAGAATTCTGGTTTGCCATTTTATATTCTGAAGGAGCTGCCTCTGTTGGTAGGCTTAGTCTAGACAGGAGGAGCAGAGGAAGTCATGCCTCTGCTAGTGGGGATGCTTTTCTGCACTGGGGATTTCTCCACTTTTATTCTGCATCTACTGCCCATACATTCCCCTTTCCAGTGTGCATGTGGCAGGAAGAAGGCAATGCACCAAGCCCAGTTACATACAGGAAAGAAAAACAAGTCTTTTGAACAAAAATGCATTTAACAGAAATAGGAAGTGTTATCAAGGTATTGGAAATGTAAGGAGAAAAATAAAGTAATCATGCATATTTTATTAATTAAAAGTATCATGTAATTTATCAGATGTATCTCAGTTGATTATGTGAACACCAGTTTGGAAACTTTGCTTTTAAGTACTTTGACTGCTGTAAGTGTTGTCAAAGGTATGAGATTAAAAATAGACCTGAACCTGATGGCATTAGTATTTTAGAACCAAAGCTACTGCTGTATGTATAGTTTGTCATCATCTTCTTTTTCCTTGTTCATTAACACTAAAGGGCATGTGTGTGGTAACAAAGTCTTCATGTTTTATAAGCCTTCCTATGCTTCTGTTGCTTTGCTTCCTAATCCAAAATCCTAATCCCCTGTGACATCCCTTTTAGTTGCTCTGAACAAAATTCTGTTACCACAGATGGAGGATTATGACATCAGGCAAGGACTGCAAGCAGCAGGAGCAGATGAACAAAGATCCTTTCACCATGCAAATGACCCATAGTAGTAAGGCATGAGGCAAAGCATAATACCAGCATCTATGCTCTGTTGTCACAAATTACTCTAAAGACGGCAGATCAGGCTTCAAGCTTCCTTGTGGTATTGCCAAGCTTTCAAAATTCCTTACAGTTGTTTTTTTTTGTTTTGTTTTGTGTTTGGTTTTTTTGTCTGGTTGTTTTGAAAGTACTGTTTCCATCTTCACAGTTGGTTTATGTGAAATACAATTCAGAAACCACAATACAGGACGTTTAATTCGAGTCCTTTGGCTCCCCTACAACATGCACCTCAAGCCAGGAGTACTAGGCCTCATGCAGTCATTTTTTGAGTGTAGGAATGCTTCTATGTAATGATGTTTACAGCTGACATTGTAGCAAGTTTGCATGCAGGTACAATTGCGTTCTGTTTTTATTTTTTAAGGAAATATAACTTGTTTATACCACTAGGACTACTTGCATTCATAATTAGGGTTAGAGGTTAGCTAATGTGATAGTAAGGTACAGGAGAAGCATCAGTTCCTTATTTCTTATCCTCAGATAACTCAGACAAATAACAACTAACATTCTATTTCAGATTGTTAAATGCCATCCCTTCTTTTGCTGGGCCAGATTAAGTTTAAAACAAGTGTCAGATCCCAACCAGATGCATGTGCATCTGTGTATGTATATCCATATCTTTTTTAAGTGTAAAGGCAAGAGGGAAGTGTGTGCATACATGTGCCCACCAGCCCACACAGTAAAATGTGTCATCACTGTTGTAATGCTAAAAGTGATCTGTGAACTTCACACTGTGCCAATGAGACCACTGGGATTCATACAGCTGCAAATGAGAGTTGGGTGGGTAGGAAGAAGAGGTGGAGGTGGGGGAAAAGTGTTGAAAAATACTGCTGAACTTTTGTTGAATATGATAATGCATGGTTTTCTTGCTGTGGCTGCTGCTGCCACTTTCCAATAGGTGAATATTTATTTTTTCAGGGATTTTGCTGTCTCCTTCTGTTATCCACACTTACGCTTCTACCTAGAGGTTTTGGGGTTTAATTTTGTAGGGGTTTTTTGTTTGGTTGGGTTTTTTTTAACACTATAATGGATCTTGGAAGAAACCAAAGCTTTTGTTAGTGTTCAGTTAAACTCTATGCCTACTGATAGTCAAATGTTGTTTCACATTGCAGGACATACATAGAGAAACACGGATAGCTAAAAAGCTACTTAAATTCACCCATTTTGTTCTTGCAGTGGGGAAAGATGATCTGGTAGGAAGATCAGAAGCTCTGCACCAAAGCTATAACAGTCTGTTCCTGGCTTAGTCTTTGAATTGTTGGGAGGATCATGGCATGACATGGGACTTCCATTTAGATGTGGGTTCTGCAAAGGCACATAAATGTGTCAGTGCCCAGATGCACAAACTGAGTATCAAAGATGCTGTATAACTATGGAATGAAATCACTGGGTGGTGTCAGATGGAAGTTGAGGGGTTTAAATTTGGGTTAAAGCCTTTGAAAACGCTGTCTCCACTTCTGTGTGTTCTATGTCATCTATAAAGTACAGATGGTAGCCCTGATGTGGTGAAAAGTAGGATGAGCCTCAGGGAATTGCTATTACTAACAAAGATTGTGACTAAAGATGCTGGGGTGGGAAGAACAGTTGTTGCTTTACACTTATTCTATTGTCCTAGACTGAAAGTGATTAACAGACTAATCTCAGGCAGCCTAGCCATTTGATCCACTAATATCTACTGTATTTATTTTGTTTCTTTTCCAAGAAGTGCAGGGTATAAAATAGTAGGTGTGTCAATTGTAATTGTACATTTTATTTGAAGTACTGCACAATAGGAGCAGTGTACCTTTGTCTAGAAGGTTGAAGATAAAATACTTTCCCAGGAAGTAACTTCTAAACTCATGTTCTTATAATCTGTGGCTTGCAGCTTCACCTCTGCTCTTCAGTGATTCAGAATTTAGCTGCCTCCTTGTGGATGACATGCTAGCTGCCATTCTGAGTCCCTCTGATCTGAAGATCATTTATTTCCTATTGCTTGTGTGTGTGTCTTCACAAGGTTTATTGGAGTAGGATAGAAAGTGTTAGTTCCAAATCACAGAACAATGAAAGGCTGTCCTGTTAATAGTAGCTGCTTCCTTCTCTGCTTCCCCCAAAGACTGTGGAAACCACTCCAGAATGGAGAAGTGTTGTGAAGTAATCTCATGCTCTTTTGAGCTCTTTATTGACGTGTTTCCAGAGGAACCTATATAATGGGACTGGTCAGAGTCTTTGTTTTTCTGTTTGTTTGTTTTGGTTTTTTTTCTTAACCTATAAAACAAAGTTGTAGCCAACTGAGGCTCCAAAACTTCAGTTTTCAGTCCAGAAGCATTTCATGGGCCCATTTTTCAGTCTTGATTTCTACAAGGGGATGAAACTTCCAGGGAAGCATGACAACCCGGCAGTGTTTATTGTCCTTGCATCACACCATATTTTACAGTAAATTTCTTTGAGCAACAACCAAACGTATGAGTTGGGCCTGCCTAAGAGGGAATATGTTGCTGTTCATTCTTCCTCCTTGCTCTGTGTTACGGTTTGCTGTTATGTTGTGGACTGTATGGTTGTCTTTGTACTCTTTTTACCTGAGCTTCTTGCATGTCTAAGAATGCAAAAAGTGTTTGGTTAGAGTTTTTTGTGTCCTGCATGAGGATCCTGATATTAATGGAAATGATGAATTGGAGGTTTTGTGATCCTGACTAAAATTATTCTCTTGGCTTTGTTTCACACTTTTCTTGCCATCCCTTCTCCAGGACCGAGCACTACCTGCCAGGAAGATTCCTGTGCAAATCAGGGCATCTGTAATCAGCAATGGGAAGGCTTCACCTGTGATTGCTCCATGACTTCATATTCTGGGAGCCAGTGTAATGACCGTAAGTAGGCTTTTCCATTGGATTGATGACCTGTGAGTTCTGACATATGGGAGCACAGAGAATATGAGTAGTTTTCCTTTCAGTTGAAATGCAACTTTCTCACTGTTAAAGCCAAACTCTTCTTACTGAAAAGTTTATTTGAAACATAGAGCAGTTAATTTTTCCCTTGTTAAAATGAAAATAAGCAATTTGGTGTGTGTTTTCTTTTTTTCCCTAATTTTAAAAGCCATCTCAACTAGACCAATAATGGTAATTTATATTGATTAAATTCCTGGTTTAGAGAAACCAGAAGTGATTTGTATATATTGTGTGTGATATTTATATAGGTACAAAATGGCTAGGTTTTGTGCTCTGAATTACACGTTGAGTTTTGCATGCAAACCTTGATGACAAAGACATGGAATCCATGTAAAACTGCTGAGCAGTGTTCCAGATTGTTGAATTCTAGATTACTAGATGTATGATGGGATAAAAAAATTGGATACTGTTTGTTAAAATGTTCAGTTAAAAATAGGTGGTCAAAGATATACAGCAAGTGTGCTTCTTGGAATACTGATTTGCTTAATTTCAATACATTTTATGTTCTTGGCAAATTACTATGAAGATCTCTGGTAAAATAATTGAACAAAACCTAGAAGTCTTCCTTTAGGGGGCAGATAATGTTTTCAGAGATTCCCCCTGGTCATCCTGAAATGGCTTTGGGGAGCAAATCAGTTTAGCTCTACTTTCTCCCTACTTGTATTATCTAAGGTGACAGTCTTCTTCTTTCCCATTCTGAGGAAGGGAACAAAGGAGCACATTGTGAGCTCTGTACAAAATATAACAATAGGCTTCAATAATTTGATTCACTCTGTGTGTGAATTTTAAGACCAGAAGAGACTCTTGCAGTCCTCTCTGACCACCTACATCTCACAGCTGCTGCCTTTCATTAAAGGGAGACCTTATTAGTGGTACCAGCAAGGCCCATGTAATACTGGAGCCACAGCACTGTCATATCTGCAGCCTTTCCCGTGGGAGTTTGAGATGTCGCTGAATTGATGGCACATTGGGCAAGCTGTTTAACATGTGGTCACAGTCTTTGTCTGCTGAAGGCCAAAAAAACCTGCTTTTTCTGAGTCATTTGTATAATGTGATGTTAGCTGTAGTGGTCTCCCCTTTCTCCCATCATGGTTCTCCCAAAGAGATAATGTAAAAGCCTATCAGCATTCACACTTTGACAGGAGCTGTAAAAGAAGGGTAGGACGAACATATTTATAGCCTATAATGCCACATGTTGTTTTGGGTTATTTTGAAATCCAGAATTATTCCTTTGGGTCCAGAAGAAGCATATTTTATTGGAGCCACATGATTTGGCTCTGACTTTCTACATTTTTGTTTTGGTTTGCTTTTGTCAGTTGGACACCTAGTTTCTCATTCTCACTCTACTTGTGTTCAGTCATTCAGTTTAGGCTTGCTGAGCATTGCCCATGATAAACCTGTTGTGTAAAAAAAATGCTACTTTTAATCCTGTTGGACTGTATTTGATTATATGTCTAGGACATCTCTGAAGAGATTACTGATACTGTTGGTTTTGTTCCTAATGTGTGGGGCTTCACAGCTCCAGAATGTTGCAGTGCCCTTGTTATGCCATTGCTAATGACTTAAAGCAGGCTCTGAAGTATCAGGAAGCCAGGTTTCTGCATCTATAATTGGGGATTCCTTGCTGCTTTTTGGAGCTTGCATCTGGAAACACTGCAGAACAGAGATGGGGGGTCGATATGAGCGAGCGTGATTTGGGCAACATAGTAGCCGCATTTCCAGTGTGGGCCTGGCTTGCGATTTAGAAATATTCACAGGAATATGTGGGTTTCAAAATGGTCTGGAAAGGTAAGTCATGCGGACTCCTTCTGGAACACGAGACTTCAGCCAGGATCTTCAAAAAGTGCGTAAATTATCTTTTTGTCCTTTTTTTCCTTTCTTTCTTTTCTTTAATCTTTGCCATGTATCAAAGCACATATTAGTTCTCCTGGTTGTCTGATGAAGTTATGAAGTGTTGTGGATTGTGGACAGGGAGAAGGCGTCCTTCCTATTCCTATCTGTTAGATATGGTTGGTATTAAATCTGAGTCTAATGGAAGAGCAGACATCTCTGTGTCAATTGAATTAAACATTATTTAGACTGGATTTTAGTGGAAGTAACGGCAAGAGGAGACAAATTGTGTAGCCTAAAGCCTTGAAGAAAGGCATCATGCTCTTCAGTTGAATATTTTTATTTTTTTAGTAGCACAGGCCTAATTCTATTAATTGCTATTTCTATCTATGACCACATTGTGGTCTCCCCCTGCTGTAAGTATGGAATATTTAAGTCAGTAGAACAGGTCTAGATTTACACAATGGAAATGGTAACAAAAGGAGGACTTACTGTTTATATTTTGTCTTTCCATTTCTGTTAATCAACTCAAGTGTCTATATTGGAAAATTTGTGTTGCCATGCATTTGGTGCAGAATATTTCAGTGTTCCTGAGGCAGTTAAATGGCATATCTGGTGTTCAGTTATTCCTTTAAATTATCCCCAATTAACTGCTGGTAAGTGTGATTTGTTATTTGCTAGCTTAAGCTTTGCAAAGTCATTTTTATGAATACTTAATAAAGCTTGGTGGACCAATATGTTTTTGCCTTTAAGTTTTTGTCCCAGAACTGGCCCATTAAGATTCGCAGCTCAGATGCAACTGGCTTGGAACTGCTGTTTCTGAAAGATGAAGTAGAAGCACAGGTGGCAGAGATAAACATTGTATATCTATAGGCTTATTTATACATTTACTAGTGTTTAGCAAGACAAAGATTGAAATTTCTAGTACAAGTGATGATACAACCTTATTTTTTAGCTGATTTTGTGTAGCTCTGTCTTGATTCTTACAGTGTAAAGGATATCTAAATTTTCTCAGAATAAGAAATTACTGGAAACTACGGGGGCATAAATTAATATGCTAATGAGCATATTAAATTATTTTTAATTTTTAGCTGTATAATTTTTTTCACCAATGTTAACCCCCCTCCAAAAAAAACCACAAAAAAACACACCAAAAAACCACAGACACCTCCTGCCCTTGAACTTATTTTATCAGGTTGGCTGTACAAAAGTGAATTTAGAGATCTGCCTTGCATTCTATTCTGTACTAATACTATAAAAATGGTAGAAGTAGCAGCAGTGGTACAATTTGGGATACGCTGGTTCAATTTTCCTTGCCATTTAAGTTCAGTTCTTAATTTTTTGAAATGGTTCTCATTCTTCATACTTGAGATGTTTTAACCAGTCCAGCATCACATTGAGTAAATCTGGGCTTTCAACCTTGATTCAGAATTTGTTATTCTAAGTTGTAGGAAATCAACATTAATATACTGTCCTAGTTCTCCTGGGACAGAACTCTAAAATTATTTTTTTGTTCAGAGACTGTAGTTTTGAGAGACTGCAGAGCCCATTTCTGTGAGAAGCGAAGAGATAAGATGCTCTGGTGTGCAGGTTTCCACAGTGGCCAAGGTCCAGGGTAGTTTTGAACTGTGCGAGTGCAGTGGGATCAGAGGGGTGAAGCCCTGGGCAGCTGACCTAAGCTGGCCAACCAAAGTATTCCATACCATAAATGTCACTCTCACTATAAATCGGGAAGTTTGTGGAGATGTTTGGGGGCTTCTACCATGGCTGCCTTCCAAAGAGGGTCCCATCTGTCTCATTGGTCATCCTATACCTGAGGCATCCTCCTCTGCTTGCACTGACTGTTGTGTTCTCACTGGAGCTGTCATTCTCACAGTGTTGACATTCAGCCTTCGCTGCTGGAAGCACGCAGGTCACAGCTAATGTCTGGAGCAGAGTATAACTTTGTCTTTTAGATTAGTTTTTTTGGTTGATGTTATTATTCGATTCCATCAGTTTTCATTCCACAGGTCTCCCTTCCTTTTCCCAGTTTCCCTCTCCTGGGTGGTGTTGGGTGATAAAGTAACTGTCCAAACTGTGACATATACTTGAGTTGATAGTTAGGAATACTAAACATCTTTGGCATGCCAAACTGTTGCTTAGACTGTTCAAATGTGTAACTTTTATTGAATAAGGTATTGGAATCAGAAGTAAAGCCACAATGTTAATAAAGTGTCTTGCAGCTGGGGTGAACTTCATCCTGTTACTGCTCTTCACTATGCTACAAGATGAAAACATGTTTGTAAAAGACTCCTGAGATATCTGAGATGCAGCATGTATTTAAACTGTTGTCCTATAAACAGCTTTACAGATTCTTTAACTTATTCATGTTCTTGTCTACCTGGTCAAACAATGACATTTTCTTTCTGCACAGAGAGAATGCATAAAAAATAGCTTCAGCAATCTAGCTGATGGGAATGGATATATGTATGTCAAACTAGATAATGGAAAACACTGCTTGTTACTCAGTGCCTCGTGCAGATGACTAACACTGAGGGTCAAGCTTTCCAGGAGAAATTGCCAAGCTAACACAAGTATATATTAATGGAGGCTATTTGTCTGTAAAAGATCAATAACCTGCAGCAATGACTAGTTCAAGCAGAGTATAAAGTGTTTTTTCAAGCAGCTTTTTGTTTTTGTTGAAACTATTGCTAAGTCCATCTGCTGACTATTGATTAGCTTTTTAAGGGGGTTATGTATTAATTTATTTATAAGCTCTGGACTGTAATACACACCTGGTTTAAAAACAAGTTTTCAATTTCATTGGTAAAAAGAAAAGGCAGCCCGTGTTTGTCTGTCCTCATGTGAGTATCTTCATATGCTTCCAGTCCGCATGCTTTTCAAATAGCCTGTTAATAAGCAGTGCAATCTAGCCTACCAATATGATTGGTTAAGTGGTGCTTGGTTTTTGTCTGGGGGAGAGGTAACATACAGGGTTGTTGTTCTTTTTGTGAGATAAGTTCTCTTTTTCTTCCAAGATCGCTTTCCATGCTATGCATAACCTATATGCTTCTGCTGTCTTTCTGTGAATCACATTTGGAGGATGGAAGAAT